TGGAAGAGAAGAGGCGCGTGGCAATCTCTTCAAACTAAATGGAGAAGCGGCGTTTGTGCACCAAAAGCATACGCAGTCCGTCACCATATGGCTGGTTAGTGTTAACTACAGTCTTCAAATCGCAGCCTGATAGTAAGCTAAGATCCTTCACGGAAGGTGTGGGATGTAACGGTTGGCCGTCTAGAGTGTACGTACGCCCATCACTACCCTTCCCAAGGATCAAAACTAACGATTTGACTAGGTTGACCGGCAGATCGATGATTGCAAATCAAATGGACAGGCAGTCGAAGTTATGCTGAGGTACGTCGCAGTCATCGGCAGCATCACTTACTCTCCACATCTTCAAGTGGTCTGCAAACAAGGCACACGGAGACCAAAAAAGCGGTAGTTCGTCGATGTGGATTAGAAACAAATAGGGCCTCGGCACAGTGACCTGAAGAACCACACTGTTGGAGATATACCATTCCGTTAGATAGTAATCCACCAGTAAGCAAATATACCTCGACTAATTTGCCGCAATTGGTGAGAAAGCTGCCGGAAAAACGAAGCTCAGAACGATGGGTGATGGTATTGTCAAGAAGCTGAATAGATTTGGCATGTAGTGGCCCCCTGAATTGAGGCTAAGAAAGCTATCAACGTAGCGGCCAGAATCACAGACTTAAATAATGCAACCGGTGTTACCGATATATATATATATATATATATAGTCAGCAGACAAACATGGAGAGAACACAGCACAGAGAAATCAATGGTGTTGGCAGAGCGTGTGATACCACCCGGTTGCCCAAACCGAGGAAAGGAGTTGTCGTACGGCACGCCACATCGAGGCTAGCTTGCCGAATTACCTCCTCGTGGTGCCAGCTGGGTGGTTCGGGTGTACCCCGCTCCAGCAAAGTGTTCGGCGACAATGTTCCACCTCGGTAGGACATTGTATTCCAGCAGGTGTACTGACTTCATGGGGAGTATTGGGCCCCTGTTTGGTAAGCTACCAAACAAAGGCGCATGAACTGAACATTCAGTCAACGCCTCCCAATGGGCGCGATTCCTTAAATTCGCCCCGCTGCCTTGCGGGTAGGTTATTTAGCCAAAGGCTCGGGGTGGAGTCCCCTAAGTCAACTCCCTACTTCGGCTTGGGCAACCGGGTAGTATCACGCCCTCTCGCGAAACCATGGACCGTATTACAATTTGCTCATCAGCTGCTATTTCTGCTAGCCACTGTCACGCGACTTCGTCACACGCCAATTGTTTGTTTGTTAACAATCCTCACTTGCGGTTACCTGATTCATGTGCTCAACAATCTGGCTGCGATTCCGGTTGCGCCGCAGACCAAGAAGTTCAACCTATGGCTCTCCTTCGTCCCCGATCCTCGTTCCATCTGGCGTGCTTCAACGTTCGGACACTCATGCAGAATGGACAGCAAGCCGGTCTAGAGCGTACCCTAGATTCCCTAGACATTAATGTCTGCTGCCTTTCAGAAACCCGATTGCAAGATCCCAGCACTATGCTTACATTGACATTCCCCACTGACCACGAAGCCAGATATCACCTGCGTCTTTCTGGAGATACGGAAGCAGCCTCAGCGGCTCTGGCTGGTGTAGGTATAGCACTAGGTGACAAGGCCGATGCGGCACTACTGGACTGGTTCCCTATTAACAGCCGACTATGTGCAGTTTGGCTGCGGGGTTCATGTAGAATCAACAGGCATCGCCAAGAGAGACACAACTTGTTTGTGATCTCCGTGTACGCCCCAACTGACTGCAGTAGCGACTCGGTCAAGGACGAATTCTACCGGGATCCACAAAAGTTCTTGACTAATGCTAAAAAGTCGGATGTCGTTATCCTTGCTGGGGATTTTAATGCACGGGTTGGCCGCCTGTTACCATACGAACGCCACCTTGGTGGTCATCACTCGCTCGATGAGAACCGCTCTGATCACGGAGAGAGACTTCTCACATTGTGCGAAGACAACCGTCTGTTTCTTTCGAGCACTAACTTCAGGCGTACAAAGAAGCGTTCCGCAATGTGGCGTCCACCTTCTTCAACACAACCGTGGTCTCAAATTGATCACATTGTAATTAGCTTCAGATGGCGCGGCAGCGTACAGGACTGCAGGTCCTTTTGGTCCACCTTCGTTGACTCAAATCATGCTCTGGTCTGCGCGAAAATCTGTGTGTTTTGGAGGATCCCGAAACACGAAGCGATGCAAGATTAATGTAAACAGATTAACTGATTCCTCTGTCCAGACGAGCTATCAGTCTTCACTGGCATATGCACTCGGTTGCAATCCACCGCGAGAAGTGGAACAACACTGGACTTGTATACGGAAGGCAATGACCATTTCCGGCCAGTCATGCTGCGGCCTGACGCGACGCCCCTCGAAGTCTTGGACCTCTGCTCTTTCTCTGGAGCTGTTCGAACGCCGCAAAGATATCCCCGCGGAATCAGATTGCAATGAGCGGCGCCGTTCTGCCAACTGGCTGCTCAAGCAAAGCCTACGCAAGGATCGCGAGACATGGTGGTCTGAGCGTGCTTTAGAGATGGAGACCGCTGCCCACCCTGGCAACACACGCACGCTTTTCAAACTCATTCGGTCCACTGGCCCCAGGAAGCCTGATGTCAGTGAGGTCATTTATGAGGTGGATGAGTCTCCGATCACCAACCAACAGGGGCGTATGGACCGCTGGGCCGAGCACTTTCACTCGCAGTTCAACTGGCCTCCACCATCCATCATTACATGCAGTACACGTTGTTGTCCACCCTGGCTCGTCCCCCTGAACCCACCCAGCGAAGCTGAATTCTGCCTCGAGATTCGACGCTTGAAGCTTTTCAAGGCTGCCGGCATAGACGGACTTCCTCCGGAACTATTCAAGTACGGCGGTGTGGCGATCATTAATCAGCTAACCGCGCTGTTCGCAAAAATTTGGCATGAAGTGAAAGTGCCTTCCACTTGGGGAGAATCAGTTATTGTCCCGATTTTCAAAAAAGGCGTTCGCACTTCATGTGCAAATCATCGCGGGATTAGTCTTATTTCGGTTGCCTCTAAACTCTTGGCATCTACTCTGCTTCGCAGGCTATCCCCAGTACGTGAATCATGCTACCGTGAAAAACAAGCTGGTTTCCGTCCTGGCCGCGGATGCCTGGATCAAATCTTCACGCTCCGCCAACTCCTTGAACATCGCCACATTTATCACAGGCCCACTATCGTTGCATTCCTAGACATACGTGCCGCTTTTGACTCCGTTGATCGACCTGCTTTATGGCGTTGCTTACTAAAGAACGGGGTGCCAGAGAAATATATCGCCATCTTACGAGCACTTTACCTTCATACATCCGGCAGAGTGAGGGTCTATGGCAAGCTTTCCTCGAAATTCACTGTCAATAGTGGTGTGCGACAGGGCTGCCCTATGTCCCCATTCCTGTTCAACTTCGCAATCGAAGACGTTCTGTCGAATGCTCTAGAAGGTTTCCAACATTTTGGCTTAGAGCTACTACCGGGTGAGCGTGCGAACGGTTTAGATTATGCTGATGATATCGCCTTACTTGGTGACGATCCTCAGAGTATGCAACTCATTCTGGATCGTTTGGCAGTTGAAGCATCTAAATATGGCATGAGCTTCGCCCCATCGAAGTGTAAAGTACTGCTCAAGGATTGGCTTTCAACTGCTCCCGTGCTCACTCTCGAAGGTGCACAACATGAACAGGTAGATAGTTTCGTCTACCTTGGGAGCTGTGTTTCTGCTGACGGCACTATCAACAAAGAAGTTTCGCTTCGTATCGCTAAAGCTCGATCAGCATTTGTCAATCTGAGGCACTTGTGGCGTCGTCGCGACGTCTCATTCTCACTAAAGGGCCGCGTTTACAGCGCATCAGTTTGCTCAGTATTGTTGTATGGGTGCGAGTCCTGGTCGATTCGCGTGGAAGACATGCGTCGTCTTTCTGCCTTCGATAACGGTTGCTTAAAGAGGATCGCTCGTGTTTGGTGGCAACATCGAGTTAATAATAATGACGTTCGACGTCGTATCTTGGGGAATGTGAGTATCCCCTTCAACAAACTGGTTTTTTGCGCCAGTTGAGATGGCTCGGTCACGTCCTATGCATGGCATCTGAGCGTCTACCGCGCCGCGCTCTATTCGCTCGTCAAGGACCTGGCTGGAGGCGACCGCGTGGTGGTCAGCCTTTCACTTGGCGGCAGCACATGAAATCGTTGACGTCGTATCTATCCGCTGTTGGATCCGTACGTCTTCCAGGATGGGGACCCAAAGATGAGGAGTGCCAATGGCCTAGCACTCTTGAAGATATGGCCCGCAACCGGAATCAGTGGAAGAATTGTGTACAGTATTGTATTGATTCACATGTTTAATACTACAAAGATTAAAATGACAAAAAAAGCAAAAACGGCATGTGAAAAACAAACTAAAAATGTTTTGTTCTACTTTTTATCAAAATGTTAAATTCTTCCCTGCGGCATATTAGTTGAAGTGTGTTGCTCACCTTCAACTAGCATGCCACGATGAATCTTGCTTATCTGCTGATCTCCATGGTTTTATGCTGGCTCTATGTCTAGTTAATAGACTGTTGAGATTACATACATACATACGCCACATCGAGCCTCCGGCTGAACAGCTTGGTCGCAAGGTAGCTGAGCAAAGTTAGGGAAGCGCGCCCAATGGGAGCCGATGGTCGACGGCTTAGCTCATATGCCTTCCATTTAATCGGTTGAAAAACAGGGGCCTAATCCTCTTCCCAATTTCAGTAGCAGGCTGCTGGGATACAATGCTTCGTCAGTGGACCCGGGCCGTTACTTGTAAGTATCTAGTGCTACTTTCGACAACCACAAAAATGTTCAGATTGAAGTATTCGGTGGTTGCTTCCCTGTAATTAATTTAAACGTCAACATTTAGACAGAAAGTAAAGCAAGTACACAAAGATAAAATCATTTTGTGAAAACGCAAATGATCAGTGCTGATTTTACGCAAGTGAATGTAAAGATTAAAACGAACCTGGACCAAAGTGGCGCCTAATTCGTGTAGGTCAGCAGACAATGAGGATGACAATGAACTGTTCGAATAGCTGGTAGTGGTGTCGAACATCGGAGTCGTAGCACGGTCAAAGCGGCCTTTCAAACGTTGGAAACGGAGCCACAGCCAAGCCTTTCGAAACTGAGGGTTTGCTGGGGAATGGGGTCCACATCCGAGAGCTAGATGGTGCAAAAACTGGGAAAGCAAGTACCATGGTATAAATAAGCAATATATGGGAGAATAAAAAGGAACCAAAAGAGATTCAAGCGAAACACGGGTGAGCACGTGACACAGAGGCAGCGTAAGGCATACAAATATGCATTACAATCGATGGACTTTATGAAATGGTTACAAATGGAGCGTCCACCGCTCATATGAAGGTTAACGTGGTAGTCCCGCAGCTTGAAAGCGCGAATGCAGCCGAAAGTCAGAGCCGGGTCACGCACAGAACCGGAAAACTAAACAATGGACGATGTGTATCAGGGAAACATTTAAGAGGCGAGCGGAGTTAAGTAAATGTTGTATATTGAAGGAGAGTGCGCGGAAAGTCGCTTCGTCGAAAAGTGATAAAAGAAGAACGACCATAACTGAAGGAGTATGCAATAGTTTTATATGAAGGTATCAAGAAGAATAATGCGCTGCAGAAGGAAATGGATACTATGCGATTAGAGACAATTGAAACATCGGATACATGCGGCGAAATATAGGCGAAGAAAACTTTCGTCAGGCTAAATAGGATGCGGCCTCGTCAGAGCGCTTTTGGTGACAGCTCCAGTTTTTCAATAGGAACTAATTAACGAGAAGAAGCGCCAATACAAACGGTATGAAGATAATGGTAGTCCATTAAATGTGTACTGATTTTGAGACGATTCCAATGGGCAAAGTGAGTGGAACAATTGGGCAGCGAGATCAGCACACAAATGGCTGAGGATCTGGCGCGCAGTAGATGGTTACATAAGACCGAGAGGTTTCGGTGACGCTTCACTCCTATACAGTGCACCGGTAACAAAGTGAACAGCAACGACTAGAGAAGTAACACTAACTTTTAATGAGACGGAATGTCCGTGTTCCAGAAGGCAGTTTGCTAGTAGCACCCAGGAAGGACAAAGAATAACACAAGAGCAGTCAGAACGTGTAGCTGGGAGTGGTACGGCAGAGTCAGACTTTGGGACGACTTTGATTCGCTTGCGTGGACGATCGGACCCCAGTGGTTCGTTGTGTGAGACACCGAGTATAAGATCTCTTAGCTCTTGAAGAGTGACCGCGTTTAAGTCCTCACCGAATGCCAATCGAAATCCAAGTTGTTCGGCCTGCGCCTCGTCAAGCGATCCCACGCGCTGGTGAAGCATCAGCTGTTCGGAAAACTGTAATAGTCGTTCCAAATCGTCTTCATCCAAGGGATCCAACCCAGGTGATTCGAGGAGACCAGTGGCCCAGGCTTCAGACAACCAATTGGTGATATCGAAACGTTTCGGCTGTAATCCATCAGTCTTAGAGCCCGGTAAGAAAGCCGAGAGTGAAAGAACGCAAGCCTCCTGCCTTGAAGCGAACTGCAGCTTCAAGACGCATTGTGGTGATGGCGAGTTCAACGATGTACAGATCAGAAGAAACGAGAAAGACAATGCAGAGGGTCGCAAACAGACTTCCGGCACCGGATTTGAAGCAGCACACGCGCCGAACAGAGAAGGAAGCGTCGTTCGAGAACTGTTACTCAGTCCGTTCATACGCAAATCCCACAGCCCGTTCAGCTGACGATGGCGAGCATCAACCTTGCTCCAAAAGGAAGAGAGACTTGAAACGACAAGGCGGCCGTTCTAAAAACGTAAAAGTCATAAGAGCAATGTGAGGTAGAAATGTGGTGCTTTCTAATGAACCAACGGATGACAAACTTACTCAATTGTAAGCCGCGCTAATTGTCGTGACGATAGAAATAAAACTCACTGTCACTCATGCGGACAACGTATCCGAGGATACACGGTTGAACCTCGTATACTAAGACAGCGGAATGACTGCCGGGACAACTTACAATTCGACATACGCCCCAAAAAACGAGGCTGCACCGTAAAGCTAAGTCCGAAAATTGCAGTTCATTACTAGGAAACAGCTAGACAAACAAACATCGCAACAACACTCGAACGAAAATGGGCAAGACGGGAGGTTTGAGAACGAGCAGTCTCCAGGTACGACAGATGAATTCCCACTAGCCAAATTGGAAATATGATACCAATTAGGTTTTAGATATTTTAGAAAATATTTGGAACCGATCGAGAAGTCATCGTTTCAAAAGGATTGGCAAACGACAAATCAACTATGTTTTGTAAGTGGCACTAGACTGACGCGTAGGGCTGCGCGCTCCGGCATGCGCATTGTAGTTTCAAAGTGCATTCTACTGTTGCAGAACTAGATTTATACGCTATCCGTTCTAACTATCACTAAACGGCCACTAGAAGTGGTGGATCAGTTCACTCAACTTGGTACCTGTGTCACTTCTGGTCGTCGCATCACTGAGGGAGTATCAGGAAGGCCCATGTGGCTTTCCAGAAGCCCAACCATCTATAGGGACGGCGGAGTATCAGCCTGTCAGTGTAAACTAAGGTGCGAAACGCTGTGGAAAGACTGGTATTAGTCTATGGATCAGAGACCTGGCCAGTTCGCAATGAAGACATCAAACACTTGGTCATGTTTGATTACTGGTGCTTGCGGAGTATTACGCACATCAGGTGGTAATATTTGGTGACCAATGCTGAGGTTCGCTGGTAGGTTTTCGTCAAGAAGTTATATGGTGCCTCACTCGAGTGTTTGTTGAATCTTAATCGTTCAGTTTGGCTAAAGCCATGTCTTCCGTATGCTCGTTGAGCAACTTCCGCGGTTTGTACAACGTCACTGCACCAAGTTGGGTGAAACCGTGAGGTGGCCAGTCGATGATGTGGCATAAAGACATGAGGAATGTGACTGAGAGATTTGGTCAGGCTGGTGGGTGCCGTCTTCGTAGATGTAGGTCTAGGGGTGGTTCATATCAATGGTTGGAAACAATCAGATATAGCGCAGTCGCGCAGTCAGTGACGTAGCTGAATTCGGTTTCTTGCCTCTGACTGTTAATTCCCATTCTATCCTGATTAGCTTAACGCATCCCTTGCTCGTTTTCATTTCTTTCACATTACACTTACATTCAGCTTCACCTTCTTGCCGTGGTTATTTATTGTTATTATGGTGACGTGAGTCGTGACAAATGGATCCACCGGATCATAGCTGGTCAAGTGAACTGCAATGAGCTGAACATCAATGGAAGGAAGATAGACTTTCTCCCTAGTAGATTCTAATAGTCTCATTTCAACGCTTCGAAATGTAGTGGAATATCAGTATGCATACAAACGACCTGTCATGATTCCCTTCATCGAATTGAGAGACGCCTGTGATCTCGTACATCAGGCCTATTTGTGGCAACTCGTCGGCACATCCATCTATGTAGGTGTAGCACGCCTCATAGCCAACTCAATGACGAGACTAGTGCTCGCACAAGATATGCATGACCAGACCAGGCTCTATGAATATCTGTTGATCGTCTAGTTTGGTTCGAACCGCTTTCGAACAGTATAGTTGTTGAGCGACGCATCAGGGAGGCAAGCAAGTGGATCACATGTCGAGAAGGTATAGAGAAAGTATCCGAAAGACTTGGCCGGGTTGGTAGCTATGCGATCGGTCAAATCAGTTATTAGAAACCGACCGAAAGAGTGAAATGGCGAAGAAAACAGCGATCCACTGGCCCTGTCCAACTTAGATACCTTATGGCCATTTTTAGTAGTATAATTATTGAATTTTTGCCCAATGTTTAGCCGCGTTTTCTCCCACCGTTTCTAATAATAAGTACCCCAATGAGGCAGCAACAAGACGCAGTGCGCTCTGATACTTGGTTGACCAGGTTGAGCAATCAGAAATGAACCGGAGAGGGATTTATTAGTTGGAATGATGCATGGTGTATCAGTTGCGCTGACTAGGTTCGTATAGGTAGAATAAAATGTTACACCAGTTATGCACTGGTTCGTCTGGGTTGAATAAATCCGTACGTAAAATGCACAATGTTGCCAGGCAAGTACACCAAACACCTATCTTTAAGCGTTGCTGCATTATGACAGAAAAAAGAACACGCTCATTTATCCACTCTAATTAGACACGACACATTGGCTAAGCGAAGGTAAAGTGGACCGCCGCGTTAAACTAAGCCCAAGTAAATGGCTTTAGAGCGGGTTGTCGATAGGTTTGCAAATCGGAGACATTGGATAATATGTCTAAGACGAGGAGTGTGATAGAGCCGGCGATCCGGTGGAAGGCCAGAGGTAACGCTTGGATTCGTCTACCGGTACATGAAGTGAGTAGGGTAAATAGTTGTTCACCTACAATAGTAAGTAGCACATCAGTGTATTCAAAGGATCGCAAGAGGCGGAGATGCCGAAGCGAATGACGAAATCGTAACTTTGAAATCACGGTACGTATTTTGCGGCTGCATGTGTAGGGGCAAATTAGATCAGTATATATCATTAAAAGTTAGCTGAAAGTGAGAAACAAAGCAAAGATGAACGAAAAAGCAGAACGGCCCAAAGATGGCGCACGAAGTGAATGCGATTGAACGTACCGTGGCAATCGCACTTGCGCTTGTCACATCAGCGTCGAAGACAGCGAAGAAAGAATTATCCGACCTAACAACGAAATGTGAAGGGGCACAAGAAAGCGGAAAAGAGGAAGTAGTATAGTGTTATCAAAGCAGAGTGAGTCTGAGCTACAAAGTAAAACAAAGCGCAAGTGGGGCGTCACTTTGGCCGTTTCTCGAACACAGAAACACATGGTATTGAACACAAAGCAGCTACAAAATCCCAACAAAGATCAAGGATAATAATAAGTAAATCGCCAGCTGTACCCCGTAACGGCGCTTCGCTGCCACGCGACCATTACCAGTCGCCCGCGGGCTGAGTATACCTCGAGGACACCCGCCCCTACGCGGATTCGAATCGGTGACGTTGTGGTTGCCAGTCAGGCGTGCAGAGCACTCGGCCACCGACTGATCAAGTGTGTACCCGAATGCTGAGCGATCAAAAAAGCAGATATCAGAGTGCTTCCCTATGGTGATAAAGCCAACATGCAACAACTGTTAAGGTGGTAATATGCGAGGCGTTATCAAAAGATTGTAGACGACGCTTCAGTATAGCTGAAAAAGTTAGCGTTGCACATATCGTGGTTCGTTGTTTCATCGACGGGAGTACATTATGGCTTCGCACTAGTTAACCGCTGTAGAACAAGGGACGAAAGTGGGCCATAATACAAAACCAAAATGACTTGTGCAAAGGTTTAAGATCAAGCTGTAAAGGCACTGCTGGAACAGCGCATCGCTTGAAAGCGGTGTCAGTGAAACAGCTTCTCTGCAGCTTCCTTGCACTGTATGGAAACAGGGTATTGTCTGCCCAAAAACACTGCACTACCCTACGCGTTTCGATCTTGTTTGATCTCATCAGGCGGTTGCTTCCGGGTAAGTGATTACTGGATTAAGAGTATGTTGACGATACCGCCCTCATCCGTGACAGGTTAGAAGCATGCCAAGTAGCACCGGACAGATCAGCACTGGCTGTCAACCGTTCGGTTTGTTATATTCAAGAGTGGATTATTTTTGAGGCAAATCATCGAGGGCTTGTTAGCAGTAGCTTTCAAATCAGATGGTCATCTATCTGTTCGTCGTGTTGGGACTCGTCAAGTGCCCCAACAGTTTCTAAATGCTATTTCATACATAGCCACTGTCAGTGGAAGTCGTTTCTCTCGGGGCCAACCCTACCCACCACAACATTGCTTAACTTGCATGACAGTAGAGCATGAGAAGCGTTATATCGAAGTTGGCTAATAAATCATGACGTTTCGCTGCTGTTCAACATGTCCCAGTAGCATGAGCTGCTGGCTAGCGGAGCAAGCCACTAGTGGTCAAGTCACATGAAACTAATAAGACAGCCAGTGAGAGGGTGTGTCAGACAGTCCGCCTCGCATAGTCGGGGGCCTCATGTATATGTACCACGGTGAAGCAGAGGGTGAGTGAAGTTCGCGGTCAGAGGTGGGGGACGACGTTGTACTTTAAAAGCACCGGATGGCTTCGCATAACATAATGTTTAAGAGCTTTGGATACGCTACTGCCATCCGTCGCGAACGTCAAATGTGCAACATACCGAGAATTTTCAACGTAAAAGCAATGTGTCCAGTTATAGGGTACTTCAAATTTTCGGATGCAATACGGTCCGTCACTAGCGGGTGGTGCTAAGAGGAGATAAGGACAGCGTTGGGCGGTGAATTCCTGGGTGGATTTTGCATGTGACTTTTTCAACTTCCGCGTGGCCTTTTTATAAGCCGACCCCCATGTACAGAAACGGAAAAATTGTCAAAAAACCACGGGGCTTATATTCGGTAATATACGGCATTTGACTTGGAAGCTACTACGAAGAAGCCCCAAGCTGCTTCGGTTTGTGTTTTGCACTCTTAAAATGCAAAGATTTCTTCCAAGATTGGCATGGACCATTTACTGCGCGAATCCTTTGGTGGGGATCAACTAGAAGTCGTCCAGAAAGTCAACGACCTGAGCAACGGTGTCAGTGTGTGAGGAATGGAAAATGAAATCACGGACCGCACAGTAAAAGTTCGAGGCGCTTTTGCAAATCTTCGCCACCTATGGCAACGGCACTCTATCACTCTCGATTAGAAGAGTAGAATCTACAGTGCTGTCATGCGTCAAATCCTACGATACAGTTGTGGAAACTGGCCCATCAGATCGACAGACATTAAGAGGCTAGTTACGTTCGACCATCCCTGAATTTGCAGTTTGACTTACATCTGGTGGGAACACTGCGTGAGCAATGAGCATGTTCGGCTTCTCTTTTAAGACGCAGGAAGAACAAGTGAACCGCTCAGCAGCATGCCCCCATGGCTCGGTCATCGGTTACGTATGCTAACATACCGACTTAAGTGACGTGTACTATTTATGCGTCCGGGATGTGGATGAAAGAGTAAAACAGGCCAAGCGGTGTGTTAAGCAAGAAAAGTGTCAGATTTCACTCCGAACCTGATCTCGGTTAATACCTCCCGACTCGCAAGATGGAGGAACTTGTTGACATGGACAAAAGCCGGTCACTATAGCCTCTGTGCTGTTTCTTTCGCCTTCCTCCACCCTAAGCTTACCTTCCAGCCATGATCGCGTTTTTATGCATAATACTGTTTGTTTTGCTTGCTTTTTGCGATCATCTGACGGATTTGTGTGAAGGCATAAGAGCCGAGGTGTTCCGCACTTCTAGCCAACGCATTAAACGATGTTGTCCCATAGATAAGTTACTAAAATGTATAAGTTATACAAACGACAGCATGCACCCTGATGTTACCAAACACTAAGCTACTCCCGTAATGTCTCGAGTTAGTCATAAAGTGTGCCTTATGGATTCTAGTTTGGGGTTTGGCAGCACCATGGAGTAACAGCATTAGAATACTTGGTTAGTGACGTGAGCTCACGACGTTCCATCAACAAATATCAATCTCGAATCTTCTGTCATCGTAGGTCCGGTTAACAAAGCAATGGCCCGCACAGTAAGCGGTCGGTGGGCATGTGCTACACACATATGCGAGTATTAACACTAGGTACTCGTCAGCGCATCCCATTGACGCGAAAAGGTTGGTTCAAGTGGGCACAAGCGATGCTCTCCTAGGTGCAAATGCTCAAGGAACTAAAGTGGCCTGAGATCCACAGATGGAAGGAACCAAATCTCATGATTGAAGAACGGTGTTTGAGACCCTCCTGTATACAAGGCTTACAAGATAAAAAGAAATTCCATTCAGGAAGGCAGACGGCGTGTTGAGATGGATGGAATAATCTTATTAGCAGTCAACACAGTTGTCAAGTGAGTTGATCAACTATACCCAGCCCAGTATCGTTAGGGGATGTAGGGTCAACATGCGACGCTCAGCTCTTCAGTGGTAAGTTGCGCTTTGAATGTGTGCAGCATACCACTATGAATTCGATTTTCCGGTATCGTCGTCCTCATCAGCATCAGAAACAGCAGTACATTTGCTATTTGAAGGGATGCTTCGCTGAGGTACAACGATGATGGCCTAAGGAATCAAGATTAATAAGATAAAAGAGGAACCTAGTGTAAAACCTTAATGCGCTAAGCGAACGTTAAGGGTCAGGGCGCCTACATATTGTGTCAAAAATATACTGTCACAAACAGCTGGCTATCGTGCAAAGATAACGTGGCATCGGCGGGACGGCTTCCTTGCGGCTTTCACTGCTCAGCGTCATAAGCAGCCATTACCAAGTAGATAACTATCCGGGAATCAGATAAAAACATAAAAAGGGGAAAATATATAATGATGATTGAAAGCTGGGCTAGAATTGCTGCGGAGAAATTCCTGGGTGGTTAATTCGGAATAGCGAAAAGGGGAAGATCTAACAATGGCGACGGACAAGCACGGAAATGTTACAAATTTTTCTGCCGAACATTTTCAAAAGCTGCTTCTTCAGCAACAATCCCAGATGGAAGCACAGATGAAACTGATCGAAAGTTTAACGCAGTGCTTAAACGTACAATCAAACGGAGCAGCTACACGGGACACCCAGGCTGTTTCACTTGATCTTCTTACGAATTCAATCACTGAATTTCATTATGATGCTGATTCCGAATCCACTTTCGAGGCGTGGTTCAAACGTTAGGAGGATATGTTTCAGACGGATTTCAGCCGTCAAGATGATTCATGGAAAGTGCGCCTTTTGCTCCGCAAGCTGGGAACTAATGAACATACAAGATTCCTTGACCACATATTGCCCAAAGAGCCGAAGGACATCACTTTCAACGAAGCAGTGGCAACACTCAAAGAAATTTTTGGTGAGTCAACATCATTGTTTAGTATTCGCTATCAATGTCTAAAAATTGTAAAGCGTGATACAGACGAGTATGGGGCACTAGCAGACATGGTTAACCGCGAATGTGGACGTTTCAAATTACGCTGTTTGACGGATGACCAGTTTAAGTGTCTTATATTTGTAAGTGCTTTACAGTCTCCATGCGAAGCGGAAATCCGCACTCGGCTCCTTGCTAATTTGGATCAAGATCCAGATTTGACATTGAAGTCTCTTGTAGGCGAATGCAAACGGTTAATTACCTTGAAACACAAAAATGCTATGATTGAGCAGAGTCGCCCCACCATTGCCGATACTGTTCATGCTGTGCAAAAAACAAGAAAATCTGGCTCGAATAAGTCGTTCAACAGAAAGCCGAACAAGTCACCTACACCTTGTTGGTCATGTGGTGAATGGCATTTCGCACGATACTGTCCATTTAAGCATCATATTTGTGATACGTGCCATAAACGCGGCCACAAGGAAGACTTCTGCCATCAGTCCCGGCCAAGAAATGTGAAGCAGTCCTACCGAAGGAAGAACTTCAGAAAACCTGACGCAGAATCACTATCGGTGATTGCTACGTTTCACAGCCATTCTAGAACACGCCGCCGATTTATCACTGTGCTTATCAACGGAATCCCAACCCAGCTGCAGTTCGATACGGCATCAGATATAACGATCATTTCCAAGAACACTTGGAAGCACATAAAGAAACCGAAAATGATTGATTCCAACAAAATCGCTCACAATGCATCCGGTGGAGTGCTGAAGTTGGTCGGA